TCAAACCTCAACTGATTCAACTTGTCTTGTTCCTGTTATTAAGGGGAATGGTTTTAGTTTTTGCCCATTGAGCATCATATTCACTGTAGGCTTTCATATATGACATTTGTCATGTTGAGATATGCTCCCTCTATTCCTGCTTTGCTGAGAGTTTTTATCAAAAATGGGTGATGGATTTTGTCAAATGTTTTTTCTACATCTATTGATATGATCATGACTTTTGTCTTTGAATTTGTGTATGTGATGTGTCATGTTTATTGATTTTTGAATATTATACCAGCTTTGCATCCTTGGAATAAGTCACAATTGGTTATGGTGTATAATCTTTTTAATATATTGCTAATATTTTGTTGAGGATTTTAGCATCTATGTTCATCAAGGATATTGGAGTGTAATTCTCTTTCTTTATAGTGTCTTTATCTGGTTTTGAAATTAGGGTAATGCTGGCCTCATAAAAAGAGTTTGGAAGTTTTTCTTTCTCCTGGATTATTTGGAGTAGTTTGAGGAGTTACTTCTTTGAATGTTTGGTAAAACTCTCCTGTGAAGCCTTCCAGACTCAACCTTTTATTTTCTGGGAGTTTTTTTTTTTATTATTACTGCTCCTAGTTCATCAGTTTTTATTGACTTATTCGGGTTTTCTGATTTTTTCTAATTCAGTTTTGGGAGATTGTATTTTTTTAGGAATTTGTCCATTTCCTCTACACTTGCTGGCATATAGTTGTTTATAGTATTTTCTTACAATTTTTTTAGATTTTCTGTGGTGTAGGTGGTTAGTTTTTTGTTTTTTTTTTCTCTTTTGTTTCTGATTTTATTTATTTGGGTCTTCTCTATTTGTTTCTTGATGAGCTGGCTAATGGTTAATCAATCTTGTCAACCTCCCTGCTTTTCTCAGCCAGATGTTATGTGGGTACCCTTCTTCATTCTGACTCTCTGCTGGGAGTACAGCTTGGGGATAGACCCCAGTGTTCCCAGTGGAAACCCCCCACAGCTGAGGTATCCCTCTGTAACTTCAGCTGCTGTCTGTGGGAGCCCAGCCAGCCTTTTTATGCCTCTGCTCTTCCTACCAGTCTCCATGCAGTCTCCACTTTCTATCCTTAGTTAACAGGGTTCTCTCCAGGGAGCCCTCCATTGATTATTCAGGGAGGTTTTCTATATTTTAGTTGTAATTCCATTTTGGCCTTAGGATCATCTCCTTGCAGCTTCCACTTACTCTGCTGCCATTTTTATCCCTCAGGATGTGAATTTTACACTCATAATAGTATTATGTGTAGATTTTACTTACTATTATTCTTTGAAAATGTAATTAATCCTACAACAAACTCAGGATTTTTCAGAGGATTTACACAACATATTGTAGTCATGTCAGCTGAAAAAATATGTTCACAGTAATAATTACTTAGGTATTTTAGCATGGAAATGTTTGTTTTAAACAGTTTTAAAGTACACAATATTTTGTGGTAAGAATGAAGTGTCCTCCCCCTTGGAAATATAATATTTAGAGAAAATAAAAGTTTGTAACAAATAAGTAGGGGGAAAAGTTATGTTATTAAAAAAAAACACAACTGAATTTAATCAGGGGTCAGTTTTAGAATTATAAATTTCAGTTAAGAATGTGAGGCATTTAAAATGGATCATTAAATAAGATACATTAAGAAGGAATGCTAATTGTTTTCATCACATTTTCATGGTTTTAATAGCCATTTTGTCCTTATAGAATTGATGGTGAATTACATCCTGCAAAGTAGACTAGTTAGTAGGCAGTCATAATGCCTGTGAGAATGTCATTTGGACCTATACATTTCCATAATAATGCTCCCAATATTTTCATAATTTCTTATTTTTTTGCTATAACTTTCTGATTCCCATAGTTTTATAATAATGGGCTAGTGAGAAAGCTGTGAGAACAAAGAGGTATTCTTTGTTATTTGCTGGGAGAATCTGAGAAAATCAATAATGCTCCTGCGGGAAGGGCATTTTGACTTTCATAGGCCCTTTCCTCCATCCATCGATCCATCCATCAATCAATCAAAATTATAGTCTATGTCTTGATGCTATAAATATTAATATAGTCCAACCTATATTCTTTATTGCATGTACATTATTATTGTCATGTGTCCTTTTCATCTAAAAGAGAGAATATACTTGCATAGGTCCCTAAAATTATTATGGGCCCCAAACACTGTGCTAACTGTGCCTAATGTGTAAGGCATCCTGCCTGCTGGGATTCTCCCTTTACCCTTATGGTCCTAAGCATCTCATTTCATCCTCTGATCTTTCAAAGGCCTGGTATCTGCAGGACTACTCTTAAAGGCAGAGACATTTCCATTTATAAAGTCCTGTGATATGCAAAAAGACTTTATATAGATATACTGGAGGCCCAGTGCACAAAATTCATGCACCATGGGAGGGAGTGTCATTCAGCTTAGCCTGTACGCTCTCCAATCTGGGACACCTTGGAGGATGTCCAACTGCCAGTTTAAACCTGATCCCATAGGCAGTCAGGCAGCCAGGCGTCCCTCTCACAATTCTGGACTACTGGCTCCCAACCATTCACCAGCCTGCCTGCCTGATTGCCCCTAACTACTCCTGTGCCAGCATGTTTGATGCCTAACTGCTCCCCTTCCAGCATAATAGTCCCCAACTGCCCTTCCCTGATGGTCCAATCACTTCCAACTGCCCTCCCCTGAATGATTGAGGGGACTGAGGGACTCTAGCTGGATGAGGTTGAATGCTGTGGGGACTGGGTGAGGTGGGGCTGAGACAACTAGGGTAGGGAACTAAGGCTGGATGAGGTCGGGCTGAGGGTACTGGAAGACTGGCTGGATGAGGCAGGGCTGAAGGAACTGGACACCACCATATTGTGGCTGTGGGTGCTGCCATCTTGTGAGGGCATTGCATTCAATTAGCATATTCATTTTTATTGGACATGGGTGCCACCATTTTTGTGAGGCTGTGATGTCAGCTAGCATATTCATACTCCCTCTTTATTAAATAGGACATTAAATATGTCATAGCCTGGTGGCTTAAACAATAGCGTTTTATTTCTTAGAGTTCTGTTTTGTTTCTCAAAAATCATGGTCATAACTGATTTAATTCCTGGTAGGAGCTCTCTTCCCTGCTGGTAGATGCTGACTTCTCATTATTACTTTATATGACCTTTCTTTAGTGTACATATGGGTGTGCATGTACATACACACATACAACTGATTTTTCTTCCTCTTCTTCTGAGTCTACTAATCTCATCATGAAAACCCCATCCTTATCTTCTCATCTAACAGTAATTGAACTCCCAAAGGCTTCATCTCCAATTAACATCACATTGGGGGGTAAGGATTCAAAATATGAATTTTGGGGAGACACAAACAACTCCATCCAGTCTGTACACCATTTTCTTATGTTATAAAACAGGGAAAAGTCATATCTGTGGTATTTGAGGCAGAGCAGAGGAGTGGAATAAAATAGGATTTTGTCATTAGCCTTATAAAGCAGGGCAACTTACTAAGCTTTCTCTCTGACTTGTGACTTGAAATAGTCATTTGTATCCCCAACTCCTAGGATATTGTGAATATATGCATGCAGAACACCTTAATAGATACCTACTATACAGTTGGAGTCCAAATGTTGGTTGCTGTTATAAGAATGTGTATATATTTGTGGACTTACTTTAAAACAACATTTAGTATGCTTCAAAGTTCAACTCTAGGCCTAAAAATGATTTTTGATACTACTGGCTGAGGTAAACTCTCTTTTGCTCCTTTTATTTTAGTACTGTTTTCTTTTTAGCAATGGTGTTCTGTAGCTATTAATCCTATATAATAAAAAGCTAATATACAAATCAACCAAATGTCAAAATGACCGGTTGCTATGACGCACATTGACCACTAGGGGCCAGATGCTCAATGCAGGAATGGCCCCTGTTAGTCAGTGCATTCCCACAAGGGGAGTGCCGCCTAATCAGAAGTCGGGCTCATGGCTAGTGAGTGCAGCAGAGGTTCCTGCCTCCAAAGGCAGTTGGACATCCCCTGAGGGCTCTGGGGCTGTGAGAGGGCACAGGCTAGTCCTACATAATAAAAGGCTAATATATATCACTGAACAGCTGATAAGGAAAGAAATTGCTAAGAAATATTTTTTTAAGTAACATAAGCAAGGTCAGAATAGTGATTATCTTTCATACTTAAGTCCATGTGTAAGTGGATAAATATATACATCATGGTGATATGTATATTTGTGTAGAAAAGGGAACATTATTTACATGCAAATTTTTATTTCTCATGGAAAACCTATAAAGGTATGTGGGAAACTATTGACTAGTTATTTCTAGGAAATGGAACTTGGGGTTTTCAGCTGGAAGTAAACTCACCTTTCATTGTATATTTTTTGTTTTCTTTCTTTTTTTTAAACATATGCCCACATTATAGTTATACATTTCAAAAAGATCAACTTTTCTCAGAAGGCATTCTTAACTTCTTCCCTAACATGGTTATTACATCATCAGCTATATTTTCCATTTTTATATTTCATTTTTCCCACAGGCACAGAAATACACTAAGTAAGTAGTTAATTTAGCAAAGACCTAAAATGAGTTGACAGGCCTAAAAGATGATAACTATCATTATTCAAAAACTGAAGCACTGTGTATTATTATGGTTATTTTCATGTTGTAATTATAATGAATATTTTAAAACAAGACCATTATAATTTTAAATACATTTATTATTTTCTTCAACAAATTTAGAAATAGAAACATGCACTATTGAAAAAAAGAAATGGAAAAGTTTAATTAAAAACATCTAAATCTTGATAATAAACCTAAAGTGTTCATATTTTAAAAATATGTTTTTATTATTGATCTCATAGAAGAAGAAAGAGGTTGAGAGAGCTAGAAACATCAATGGTGAGAGAAAATCATGGGTTGGCAGCCTTCTGCATGCCTCCACATCTGGATTTGAGCCAGCAACCCGGGCATGTGCCCCAACCGGGAATCAAACAGAGACCTCCTGGTTCATTGGTCAACGCTTAACCACTGAGCCATGCTGTCCAGGCTTCAGTGTTCATTTTTAATTTTTATTTCTTATGTGCTTAATTTGAAATTACAGAGACTATGGATACCTAAAACTTGCAAATTACATGTGATTTATGTCTATGAAATATTTTCTATCATTTAGTTTTGCATTTTCTGTACATCTTTTGGTTTATTCCTGATTTATGGTGTTTTTTTTAAGATTATCTAACTGCCATCATATCTTAATATTTTGAGTTGTATTTTATATTATGATACCTTTCAGAACACAATGTAAAATTTTTGTCATGCTGAGTTTTGTTTGTGAAGAGAGCAGTGTGAGTTGTTTTTGTTATAGTAGGCATCATAATACTAATCATTGTCTAATTTACACAAGACTCCCAATAGGCAAACGAGGTAGGCATATATAAGCTTGAGGAGTTTTGCTGAGATTGATAGGGTTTCCGTCCAATCGGATATCTTCTAGTGCCTTACGAATATAAGTCAAATTTTTAACATCACAGAAGGTATCTTCATGCATCTCCAGAATGTTGTTATTCTAAAAGAGATGAAAGTAAATTATTGTACATAAAAAGATATAATATATGATTAGTACTGATTAAAGTGCATTTTGCTTTACCTTGTGTTTATATTTTTGTTTCTTCTGTATACAAAATCCACGTTATGTGATTATTATACATTAAACACTTTCTAGGCAATAGGGATAAATCAATTAACAAAAAGACATGTGTTTGCTCATATAGAGACTATACTTTGGTAATGGGGATATAAAATAAGAAAGTAGAAAAAAGTGTACAGAAAAAAAGTTATTTCCAAAAATATTAGACTTATGCATAAAGAATGGTGACTGTGAAAAGTTATCTTAAGGGATATTATTGGAGCTCAGAATAGAATGACAAGAAAACATGGGCATTGAAAGGACAAGGTAATAAGAACACCAATTTCAAATTCTGAGTAATTATAAAATGTTCAAGAGTGAGAAAAAGTTAACATGACTAAAATGAAGTGACAGAGAGAGTAAGCAAACATAAGGAAGAAAACAGGTGCAGAACTTGGTTGAAGTATTGTCCAGCATACCAAAAGATTGTGGGTTTGAAACCTAGAGCACATGCCTAGGTTTCAGGAATTGATTCCTAATCCAGGTGCTTATGGGAGGCAATTTATCAATGTTTCTCTCTTACATGATGGACACTAAGATTGCCTCCATGTCTTGACTGTTGTAAATAATACTACAATGAACATATGAATGTACACTGAGTGACCAGATTATTATGATCTCTGAATGCATAATAATCTGGCCACTCAGTGTATATCCTATATAATAAAAGGCTAATATGCAAATTGTCCCCTCGACCAGGCGTTTGACCAGCAGGCAGGCAGGCCAATTGCCCCCTCTCCCTGGCAAGGCTGAGCGGACCCCACCCATGCATGAATTCATGCATTGGGCCTCTAATATACATACTGTACATATACACTGAGTGGCCAGATTATTATGTGTTCAGAGATCATAATAATCTGACCATTCAGTGTATATGTCTTTTCAATTTAGTGGTTTTTTTTGTTTTTTTGGTTTTTTTTTGGTGTGTGTGTGTGTGTGTATGTGTTTAAATGCCCCAAAATAGAATTGCTGGTACTTCTTTATCTTTTGTTATAGCCTTTGTTTTCAAGGCTATTTGGTCTAGTATAAATAGTGCTACTCCAGGTTTTATGGGTTTGTTTTTCTACACCTTGACTTTTATTCTGTGTATGTCTTTCAATATGAAGACAGTCTCATATAGACAGCATATCTTAGGGTACAGATATGTTTTGTTATTCATTCAGCCACACTATGCCTTTTGATTGGAGCATTTAATCCATTTGCATTTAAAATAATTGTTCATAGATATGTATTTATTGCCATTTTGTTATTTATATTCTTAGATTTTCTCTTTCTCCTCCTCTTCCTCCTCCTTCCCTTCCCCCTTCCCCTTTCCCCTTCCCTCTCCCCTTTCTCCTCCCCCTTCCCCTCCCCCTCCCCTCCCCTTCTCCCTTCCCCTTTCCCTTCTCCCTTCCCCTTCCCCTTCCCCTTCCCCTTCCCCTTCTCCCTTCCCCTTTCCTCCTTCCCCCTTCCCCATTCCCCCTTCTCCTTTTCCCATTCCCCATTCCCCATTCCTCCTTCTCCCTTCCCACTTCCCCCTTTCTTCTTTCCCCTTCCCCCTTGTCCCTTCCCCCTTCCCCCTTTCTTCTTTCCCCTTCCCCCTTCTCCCTTCCCCTTTCCCCCTTCCCCATTCCCCCTTCCCCCTTCTCTTTTCCCCATTCCCCCTTTCCTTTCCCTTTCCCCCTTTACCCTTCCCCTTCCCCCTCCCCTTTCCCTTCCCCTTCCCCCTTTACCCTTCCCCTTTTACCCTTCTCCCTTCTCCCTTCCCCTTCTCCCTTTCTTCTTTCCCCTTTCCCTTTTTCCCTTCTTCCCCTCCCACTCCCCCTCCCCTCTCCCCCTCCCCCTCCCCCTCCCCCTCCTTCTCCTTCTCCTTCTCCTTCTCCTTCTCCTTCTCCTTCTCCTTCTCCTTCTCCTTCTCCTTCTCCTTCTCCTTCTCCTTCTCCTTCTCCTTCTCCTTCTCCTTCTCCTTCTCCTTCTCCTTCTCCTTCTCCTTCTTCTCCTTCTCCTTTCCTTCTTTCTTCTGGAAGACCCTTCAACATTTCATGTAATACTAGTTTGATGGTGATGAACTGCTTTAGCTTTTTCTCTCTGTGAAGCTCTTTATCTGACTTTCAATTCTAAATGAAAGCTTTTCTGGGTTGAATAATCTTGGTTGTATGTCCTTGCTTTTCATAACTTTGAATATTTCATGCCAATCCCTTTGGCCTGCAAAGTTTCTGTTGAGAAATCAGCTGACAGTTTTTTGGGAGCTCTTTTGTAGGTAACTAACTGCGTTCTCTAGTTGCTCTCTCTTTGTCTTTCACCTTTGGCAATTTATAATGTGTCTTGGAGTGGGCCTCTTAGGATTTATTTTTTGGGGACACTCTTCTCAGACTTGTATGTCTATTTCCTTTGCCAGAGTAGGAAAATTTTCTGTTATTATTTCTTCAAATAGGTTTTCAATCCCTTGATCTTCTTCTTACAGTAACCCTATGATGCAAATACTGGTATGATTGAAGTTGTTCCAGAGTTCTCATAAGTTATCCTCATTTTCCTGGATTCTTTTTTCTTTTTGCTGTTATAATTGGGTGTTTTCTGCTACCTTATTTTCCAATTCACTGATTTGATCCTCTGCTTGATCTAATCTCTATTTATTTCCTCTAATGCATTTTTCACTTTAGTTATTATAGTTTTTATTTCTGATTTTTTTTAATGGATTCTATCTCAATTTTTATGTTTCCTATCTCTTTGTTGAAGTATGCACTGTGATAAGTGAGCATTTTTAAAATTAGTATTTTGAACTCTGCATCTGGTAGATTGTCTTCATTTTATTTAGTTCTCTTTCTGGGGTATTGTTCTTTCTTCTTCTTATTATTATTATTTGGAACATATATGCTGCCTCCCTGTATTTGTTTTGATATGATAGGCAGAGCTGCTACACTTTCTGGTTTTGTAAAGTAACCTTATGTAGTATGTATTCCCTACTGATTTTCATATCCAAGAGATTCAGAGACTCCCCAGCACTGGACCAGTATCCCCAGTCATGCAAGCTGGGAGCTCCAGCTGTGCCCTCTGTGGGACTGTATGAATTCTCCTTTTGTATTTGACTTGGTTGCTTCTGACATACAATGGGAGGAATTTTCCCCAAGGTCAATTGGCTGTGAGAATTGGCCAGAAACAGTGGAGGATTTATTGTGCAAGAAACAACTCCATGGAGCAGGATACAGTCAGGGAGATTCTAGTGCCTGCCCCTTGAGTGTGTTGTGGAAGTGGTTGGGTCTTGCTTCAGGTTGGTCTGAAGCTGTCCACCTGGGGTACTGGCTCTGAGGTCTCCTGGGAGGTGCCTCCTGTGCCCTGCTTGGGGCCACCAACATGACCTACAAAGCTGTCAGCAGATGGCTGCTATTTGGAGGTGCCCAGGAGAGGCAAAGTTGAAAATTAAAGCTGGCTGCCACAAGTGTCAGGCCTGGAGCCACTTAGCAAGATGTATGGGAAACACTAGGCCAGATGCACTTTGAAATATTTTAAGTAAGTCCACAATATTTTAAGTAAGTCCAAGACAGGCTATTTGTATGGAAAAGACACTGGACCTGTAAGTTGCATGGGTGGAATATTGATGAATCACTGAGGGGAACAATCAGTGTTAGCAAGGCTCATGGAGACTCAGATACACACCTGCCTGCTGGCTCTGTAGGGGCGGACTCAGCAAAGGAATAACTTTTGTCTGGGAGAAAGCTGCCCCTCTGGCTCTCACCCTGAACTAGATAATTCAGTTGCTCTCCTGTGTCACTGGCACCTTTTGGAGCTGCTGTCCCAGTGCTGGAGCTCAGAGTGAGTGAGTTGGTCAGTGAGCCAGTTGGTGCATAGGCCCTTTAAAAAGAATGCCTGGGACTCCAGCATCCCTCTGTCTCATAATCCCCACTGCCTTTCACATCCAGGAGATTCAGAGACTTCCCAGCACTGGAACATTGTCATGTCTGGTGTGGGACTGGGGGAAAACCTCTATAGCCAAGATATCCCTCCCAATTTTTAACCATCACATTGGGGTGTGATACAAGCTCATTCTGAATTTCTGCACCTCCTATCAGTCTTAATGTGGCTTCTTTTGTGTAGCCTTAGTAATAGGACTTCTGTTCAGCTAGATTTTAGGTGGTTCTGAATTACGGTGGTTCTGTATTTTAGTTGTAATTTTGATGTAATTATGGGAGAATGAGAGTATTGCATTCATCTACTTAGTCATCTTGACTGGAAACTCCAAAGGCAATTACTTTTATTTCATTTTTTAATTAAAAAAAAGTATTGATTGAGAGAGAGACAGAAAGAGAGAGAGAGAGAGAGAGAGAGAGAGAGAGAGAGAGAGAGAGAGAGAGAAACATCAACATATTGTTCCACTCATTGGTTGATTCTTATATGTGCCTTGACCAGGGATTGAACCCACAGCCTTGGTATATCAGGACAACACTCCAATCAACTGAGCTACACAGCCAGGGCAAGCAATTATTTTGAAAAAAATCTCAGATTACATATACAAGAATATTGTGTTTAACTATAACATTAGAGACTTTGTCACTTTTGAGTCAATATCATCACAGACAATAATAACGCATTTAACTCATAACTAGAAAACATATTATAATATTTCCTTGAGGATGTCCTTGAAAATCCTCTATGCAGTCATGAATATATTAAAAATCACTCTCAGAAAAAGAGATACTAAGACAGAGCCATCCAAAAACAGGATGGGCACTACAAAGGGAGTAAGGAAGTAAACGCTACCAGAAAAACTCTTAAATGAGACATGAGTCCAAGCCTCAGAGATAGGTGTACATAAAAGGACATCAAAAAGTATATAATAGAATAAAAGAAACAACACAGGGTAAGTATTTACAGAATCCACAGAGGAAAACATAGAAATCAGAGACTTGCTGTCACATAACAAAATCATCTTCTCAAAAGATTGCAATTTTACACTATGATATTGTTCTATGAACACACAATGGATGCATTATCTACAGATTTATTCGACAAAACATGAAGTTATTACAAATAGTTGATTATGGCTGAACACCAAAAATTATATATGAAATATAATTTATCTCTTTTGCTTTAACAACTGAAATGTTTATTTTAATTGAGCATAGTTCTGAAATATTTAAATGAAATATATTTAGAAAATATTAGATTATAACATTTTTGAATTTGTGTTTTCACTCAGTTTAGTGGCATTTTAAATAAAGCAGTTTTTCAAATATGTTGGTTTAGGAAAATCTGCATTTTCTTAATCCAGAAAGATGGAAGTCTCTAATTGCTCAGCAAATAGAATGCCCTATGGTTGAATTTAATTCAGCACATAAAACCTAAAGCTAAAATTGAAAGACTAGCCCAATCAGTGTGGCTCAGTAGTTGAGTATTACACTATGAAACAGGAAGTCACAGTTCAATTCCCGGTCAGGGCATATGCCCAATTGCAGGCTCACTCCCCAATGTGGAGTGTATAGGAGGCAGCTGATCAATGATTCTCTGTCATCAATGATGTTTCTCTATCCCTCTCCCTCCCTCTGAAATAGATACAAATATATTTTAAAAAAATAAAAAAATAAAAAGGCTAACATTGACATTTTCTCCCTGAAAACTAGGAATCAAATTAGACTTTTTATTTTTTTACTGTTTCCCTCTTTTCTAATCTTTATACACTTCTTCAGCAAAAAAACAACAACAAAACAAAACACACAGAAAAACACTTCCATTCTTTTTTTCAAAAAATGCATTATTATTTGGCCAAGAATGAAAATAAAAATTAACATTATTAGAAATAAAACAGTGTTAGGGTCATTAATGTGCAAATACCTTGTAGTCAAACTCAGTGAATGACTGAAAGGAGAAAAAAAGGAGAAAAAAAAAGAAAAATTGTCCCAGTATGTCAACATGACATTATAAAGAGCTTCCTGTGTCCCAGCTTCCTCTCTTCTGCTTTTGTTTCCCATGGAGCTATTGGGCATACCTTACTAGTAGAAGCTTACCTGGAGATGAAGGGCTCGAAGGTTTTCTGGGAGTGGCAGCGGGATGTGATCCAAGTTGTTATCTGTGAGGTAGAGGTGATGGAGATCATACATATCCTGAAAACATTCCAAATATAGGGACTTAATAGAAATTAGTGGTGCCACAGTTATATTTTCCATTCCTGGTCCATGCAATTATTTGTAAAATACCACATGCCTTACCAGGTCTTGTTTAGTAAAGTTTTGGCAGATTAGTTTTCTAAGTTACATATTAGACCATTCAAATGAATTTTGGAAGAAATGAGGAATAAGTAGAAATCTCTTGATGAAAATGAAATATGTTTCTGAATCTCTAGGAAGAAACATGCTTTGTCCACTTTCACTTTCCCAGTTTAAGTAAGGCACTGACTTCTCATTCTCTATTCTGCAATAGAACTTTGGAGATTTTGGTTTAAGCATAGCAATGATTTATTTCATGTAATAGGGATGGAAAAATGAGAATTTATAGTCAACAAAAGACTTCTCTTCCTAGCCTGAATTTCAGGGAAAAGACAGACTAGAAAGACAGAAAAAGTTTAGACAATAACAGGTCCACTCTAGCCAAATACCACAGGGCCAATTGTGACTCACCACCACCCATGCCAACAAAAGATGAGTGGAGAGACAGACTTCTACCCTTGCCAGGCTCTACTGAAGTGCCCTAACTCTCTTACCCCCACAGAATGGCTAGTAGAGAGATAAGACTTTTGTTATTGCCCAGTGCTAATGGGTCCACAAGACACCTTCTAGCTACCAAGGAAGTAATGTGATGTCCCTTCAAACAGTATTTTTTGTTTATTTTGTTCAATATGTATTTAGCGAAGCAGCTTGAATGGGGTAAAAATGAGTAAGATAGCCAGTGGGTTACTGTTCTCAGACTCTAAACCATTATTCCAAGCAAGTTGCTCTAGCCCTGAACTTGCTTCCCTTACTTAGAAAACAAAATTCATAAGATTAACTGAATCCAGTCTTCTTTAAAGTAATATGGAAGCCTTTTATCCCCAAGGCACCTACCACATCCTGTTAAAAGTAGTTTACCTTTTAACCACATTAAATGCTCCCCATCAATGGTGATTTTGGTAAATATAAATTATCTGCTTAACACTATTTCCAGATAGCCACCCACTTCTTATTCCATTTCTGGTTTCTGTTCTTGGTGCTTGACCAACCTCAAAATGTACCAGAGCACAGTATTTTCCAAAAGCGTGATAAGTAGTGTTGGAAAGTTTACTTTTGAAGTTAAAAGTGTCATCCAAGTGAATTTCTTTATAGAAATAAAAAGGCTAGTCATTGACCACAAATGGAATGGGAAGATGAAAGTCTTTTATATCCAAACTTAAAACTCACTTTAAATGCTTCTTGCTTTATTCCTTTCCTTCCAAGTCTATTGTTGCTAATATCAATGAATGTCAAAGTGGTTGGCAAATCTGGAAGTTGCCTTATTTTGTTGTCACGTAGGATAAGCTCTCTGAGTTCAGGCAGCTTTTTGAATGCATCTTCATCAATTTCAGATATTAAATTTGATGTTAGATCAATCTTCCTTAAATCATCTAGAAGAAAAAGTGAGGAAGTAATTAATATTTTTGAAATGTTCTGTTCACAGAGATTTGGGAGGGGAGTGGACTGACAATTCTCGGGGAAAAGGGGAGTGGAGGATGCGGGAAGAGACTGAACATAAACTGTGCACCTATGGACAAGGACAATGGGGGGGAGGGGTGGAAAGGGCAGAGGGTGTGGTGGGAACCTGATGGAGGGGGGAGAAAATGAGGAACTTTTGTAATAATATGAACAATAAAGATTGATTAAAAAAAAAAAAGAAACGCTCTGTTCACATAACAATATGAATATAAATTTCCTATATACAAATAAGCATAAACATGAATTTAAGTAGCAACACCAGTTAGAGAGAATTATTTCTAAATACCTTAGAAAACCTGTTTCCTCTGAATACTGTTCATGCTTATACAATTACTAGAGGCCCAATGCATGCAGATTCATACAAGAATGGGCTTTCCTTCCCCAGGATGCTGGCACTGCCTTTGCTCAGTCCCTCGGGAACTGCATTTCCACCTTTCCATGCTGCCCAGAGGCCAGGAGTGGCTAGGATGGTGTGGAACAACTGTATCATTGCCATAGCAACAATGCAAGCATCCCCTTCCCCCTTGTCAATAGGTGCCAGTGTATGCAAATTAATCCACATCTTTGATGGGTTGATTTGCATTCTCACTCCTTATTGGCTGGTGGGCATCACAAAGGTATGGTCAATTTGCATCTTATTCTTTTATTAGTGTAGATAAGAAATTATAAAGTTAGGAAAGAAACTGACACATTATACTTAAAATAACTAGTCTCAATAGTCTAAATAAACTATATTTAGATTTTACTACTTAAAACATTTTCCACAGTGAAAACAGATGATCATGACACCCTACTTTTATTGCCATAAAATGATAATAAGTTCTAGGTTATAAAATAGTTACTTATGATTTTTATTTAGTTACAAATTGTTTGTTGAAAATATCAATAGTTTCATAGTTTCTTGATGACCTTTAATTATTCAGCATTTTTCTTATCATAATTAAAACAAATCTTCAAATTATTACACGAGAAAAAAATAATTGATTTATGAGACATCTATACTAATAAAAGGATAATATGCAAATTAGACTGGATTGACCAACCAGTTGTCTTCTGGATGTCAGGTGTCCTTCTGGACAAAGCCACAAAGGTGGGAGCAAAGGCAGAGGTGGTTAGGAGTGATCAGGCCGGCAGGGGAGAGCATTTAGGGGCAATCAGGACAGCAAGGGGAGCAATTAAGGGTGAGATCAGGCAGGCAGGCTGAGGAGGTTAGGGGCATCAGGCCAGCATGCAGAATGGTTAGGGGATAACAGTGGTTAGGAGCCAGTGTCCAGGATTGGAGAGGGTGCATGCCAGGCTGAGGGACCTCCCCGCCTGTGCATGAATTTCATACATGGAGCCTCTAGTTATATATATATATATATATGTCTAAGTGACAAGCTGATTAGCAGGTAGCTATGATGTGCACTGTCCATCAGGGCACAGACGCTCAATGCAGGAGCTGCCAAGTGACAGCAACTTTGCAGAGTGCTCTTTCATACTCAAGGACCCCTCAGGAGGATGTTGGACTGCCGGTTTCTGCCTGATCTCTGCAGGCTAGGCCGAGGGACCCCACTTGTGCACTGCAGAGATAGGGCAGAAACTTAAATACACTGGGCCTCTAGTATTTAATATTCAGCTATCATTTCCAGAACCACTATTTTACAGTGCAAAAATTTTAAGAAATTCTGTAAAGAAAAGAAGGCCATTAGTGCTATCATTCATACTTAAGCTTGCGAAGTCGTTTCTGTTGATCTTTTTAATTCTGTTAAAGCGGGAATAGAAATAAGCAGTGTTCTTGGGCAGTGGAGGAATAGCATCAAGCTCATGGTCATCACAGTATACAGTGGTACTTATACAGGTACACAGAAGGCAGGTTGGAAAATCTAAAAGAAAGATGCAAATAATTAAAATTAAGTAACAAAGGCAATTTATAACTATTTGACTAGTAATGTTTGTTAAACAAGATTAGAGTCTCATGCAGACAATTCTGATATATTTTATCTTTTCTTATATAGTTTTCTGTAAGTGGAATACTAGTCAAATATACCAAAAAAACCTGACCCAATAATTAGTATATTTTTGTAATGTTATAAAATTTGAAATTATTGTGTGGCCACTACACAGTTGTTGCTTTTATAGTTAGAAATTCTATTTTCAAATGTGAACACTAATATTGCCATTTTTATAAGTTTAAAGCATCACATACAATGATTGTATTAGGTCATTGATTCAATAATTAAACACCCCACTGAAACAAAATCTGCTTCAAGAAAAATATAGGGTAATAATCACTAATATTCATTCACTCAGTATGTAGTTTTTAATCTTTTCTATGTAAATGGCACTATGCTAGCTAGTGAAACAGTGGTGAGCATAAAGAGACAGAGATCTATTTTATGATCTGTTATGTGAGAAGAATGATAATCACACAAATAAATGAAATGATGACTGAGGTAAGTATTATGAAATATCATATGGACATAAAATAGAAAAATTTGACCCGATTTGAGAATCATGCTTCTCTGAGAAGATACTAATTGAATTGAAATTTTCAAGAAGAGTAGTCATGCTTATGTGAGGGAAGCATATGCAGACCGAGGAAGCAGCATGTGCCCTGGTTCTTCAGTTTGGACGAAAGGAAAGATGGTTCATGTTGCTATAGCATAGAGAGTATTGTAATGTATAGGACATAACATGTATGGCCTAATAGGGTGTGTTACAGATTTTGTTCCTTATTCTATATATTATCATATTTGCATGCTAACATATCACTCTGCTTGAAGGTGTGGTGGAAGTCTGAGGGAGGGCTAGTGGACAGAGTGGAGATGAATTGTGGTCTCTAGGGTAATCACAATAGAAAAATCAGCAGAGCCAAAAGATATTTGTTAGGCTGGATTATATATCAATTTATTAATCTATTTTTCTCCATCTATCACACACACACATATGCTCACACACACTCCCTTGCACACACACACAGACACACCTATACCTCCTTCATTCCTTGTTTAGTACTCATGTAGAGAATAGCAGTCTTCTAAGGGAGACAGAAGTAATGTGCAGAAGGAAAGGAGGGAAGAAAGATAAGGCAATATTATGGTGACCAAGTGGAGAAAGGGTTGGAAAGAAAAGGAAATAGAAAACAATCAAGGCTGCTGAAATGCCAGGCAAATTAAAATAGCTCTTGGGTTGAAAATGTCTCGGGTTAGTTGTGATGGTTATAGGAGACTTTAATAAGAGCTGTGCAGTGATGAGGCCGGAAGCCAATTAATTACAGTCAATTAAAGAGAAAGTTCGATGTGCAGAAATAGTTATAGCAAATATAGACAATGTTATTGAGATATTTGTGAAAAAGGAAGAAAAAAGTTGATGATTACTTTTTAAAAATATTATTTGTGTTGTGTACAATGAGGGATATTGACTAAGCTAGAGGGTTTGCAAGAATACAAAGGAGCAGAGGTTAAAGATAAAATGGGTCCGAGAGGGCAACAGGAAATGAAGTTTAAAGCCCAGAGGGAGAATGCAAAGCCACTTGCTGGAGGACCTGTTCCTCTGTGGTAACAGGAGGGGTGTGGTTGTAGGTAATTATATGTCTGAAAACAGAAAGACCAAAGAGCTGCTGACTGGAAGATTGCATTTTCTTTGTGAAGTATTGTAGATGACTAAGCTTCCTAAAGTGCTTGAGAAGTAAAGGGAGGAGGAGAAGAAGGTCATAAGAGGTGAGATGAATGAAGAAAGTGAAATAAGCCATGGCAATTACAGAAGAATGTGATGGAAGAACTTCCTTGAGATTGCTCAGTGATCACTTCATCTGATTTAGCAGAACTTTCCTGGGTTTAGCACTGAAAGTCCCCTATCTTGGAAACCCCTCACTCTCAGAGACACATTGTTGCCTTAGTTCAAAGATTAATAACTAGTAATGCAACTAAGATATTTAATTAATCATGGCCTATAGTTTTTGTACAAATATACTTCCTGCTCAGCCTTTTTTGAATTTTTGTTCAAGCAATGATAAGTTTTTCAAATTTTTTATAATTTTTAGAATGTCAGCAGAGGCAAAAGAAAAGCACTTCGGCTGTTTAATCTCAACTAACACAGTCAATAGGATGAAGGAAATTATACCATAATTTATGTGACTATCTGCCTCTGATTCTGAATTTCTAGAGAGCACTGGATTGCAGAAGATCTAGGACAACATTCACTCAAAGATCTTACATACTTTATTGATGCATACTCAGCAGTGAGCTGTTATATGCATTTTTCTCCCAAAATTTTCAACCTGTAAACTTTTTAAGACCTTCCTGTATTTTACATGTGTGTGATTTGAGTGGTGTTATCAATGTTTTGGTAAATATTTTTTTTTCTATTTAGCTTAATTATAACGATTTGTATATAAAACATTCTAAGCATTGCAACTTCCTCACAAAAAAAAACAAACACAAAAAAAACAAAACAAAAAAACTAGTAAGGCACTTACTAAAGTTGTATTGTATCATTAAATAGAAAAATCCTTTATACTATCTAATAAAAGAGTAATATGCAAATTGGCCATCACCCCAAGACACAAGATGGCTGCCCCCTTGTGTACACAAGAAGGCTAACACAATTGGCCTGCAGGGGAGGGCAGTTGTGGGCAGTTAGGGGTGACCAGGCTGGCAGAGGAAGGCAGTTAGGGGAGACCAGGCCAACAAGGAAAGGCAGTTTTGAGGCATCCAGGCCTGTAGAAGAGGGCAATTGGGGAGGAACAGGCCAGCAGTGAAGAGCAGTTGGGGGGACCAGGCCTGCAGGGGAGAACAGTTGAGCGAGTGACCCAGGCCAGCAGGGGAGGGGAGGGCAGTTGTGGGGGACCAGGCTTGCAGGGGAGGGAGGGTGAGGGGGCAGGCCTGCAGGGGAGAACAGGTAGAGGGAACCAGGCCTTCAAGGGAGGGCAGTTTTTTTTGGGGGGGCGGGCCTGCAGTGCAGGGCAGTTGTGTCAGGGACCAGGTCTGCAGTAGAAGACAGTTGGGAGAGGACCCAGGCCTGCAGGGGATGGCAGTTTGCGGGGACCAGGCCTGCAGGGGAGGACAATTGGGGGTGGGAACCAGGCCTACTGGCGAGGACAGTTGCGGTGGGCCAGGCCTGTAGGGGAGGGCAATTGGGGGGGGGGGGGAGGCAGACCTGCAGGGGAGGTTAGTTGGGGGGTCCAGGCCTGCAGGGTAGGGCAGTTAGGGATGACCCAGCCAGCAGGGGAGGGAAGTTGTGGGCCATTAGGCCTGTCGGGGAGTACAGTTAGGGGCAATTGGGCTGGCCGGAGAGCAGTTAGGTGTCAATCAGGCTGGCAGGGGAGTGGTTAGGGGGTGATCAGGCTGGCAGGCAAAAGCAGTTAGGGGCAATCAGGCAGAGGCAGGATAGCAGTTGGAAACCAACAGTCCTGTATAGTGAGAGGGTTGTCCAACTGCTCTTGCATCAGGCCTAAAAGGGTGGTCAGACATCCCTCAAGGGGTCCCAGATATCTGCCTGTAGTTAATGATACTTTATTGTACCCTGAAAATTTTGTTGAAAGTGAACAAAAGATAAGCTCTTTTATCAAAAATAAAATAATCAGAATTAACATTTACTGTGTTTACTATGGACCAGGTACTAAATTCATTCATTTAATCCTTACAAAACTCTATGAGGTAAGATTTATTATTTATTGTCCCACTTTTAAGATGAAAAAAATGAGCCATAAAACCACCAAACATTGAGTGCCTTGCTCAAGATTATAGTATATCCAGCAGGTTGCAAAGTTGATTTTAATGTTCTCTTCTCTCTTTGCTTGCTCAGTACATTCTTTACAGACTTTTTTCTCATATCACCATTAACACCTTAACAGCCTCTATATTTGTTTCCATGTCTGTCTCCCTATTCTAGATAGAAGTATCTGTGAAAAGGCAGTTATTTTAAAGTAAGTTTTGTATCTTTAGAGCTTAAAGTACAAAGATACTCAATAGTAACAACCTTTGTAATGGAAATTCTACTCACGTTTTATACCCCTTCCCTTATGCCATCCCCCCCCTTCCTCTCTCTCTCTCTCTCTCTCTCTCTCTCTCTCTCTCTCTCTCTCTCTCTCTCTCTCTCTCTCGTGTGTGTGTGTGTGTGTGTGTGTGTGTGTGTGTGAGTGTTTTGGAGTGAGTCCACTTGAATAACCCCAAGGATGACACTGATAAATTCTAACAACAAATATAGACAAACTAGAGGCCCAGTGCACGAAATCCCTCCACCTGGCCTGCAACGACGCAAGTGTTCTGTGCCTGGCCTGGCCAGAGGTCCTCCACGGCCAGGCATGGAATGCTTGTCTTGGTGCAGCAGAGACAAAACAAGCATTCCACCAGGCAGCTCACACTGCCCATTCTCAATGGCCACCCTCCCCATCCTGGGACTGGGGGACTCCAGTGAGGCTGAGAGTACTGGGTGCTGCCATCTTTGTGATGGATTGATGGTCAATTTGCATATTCCCTCTTTATTTGATAGGATTATAGAATCACATTCAGCATCAGCCATGCCTTCTTGTTAACAAAATGCTCTAGTTAGACAACCTTTAAACCAAACAAGATGGAATTCAATGTAATGGGCCACTTTCTTCTCTTTTCCTCTCTCTGCTACTTCCTAGGAGAAGAACCATATAGATAAAAATCAGAACAGACGAGCTTCAAACCCAGCATGTGAAACTAAGGGCTATGTGATCTCTGGCAAGTTCCTACCCTTTCAAAGCTACTTACCTCAGTAATAATGAAAAGATTAATGCTGACACCGTCACAGGGAGTTTGTAATACACAATGAGATAAGGTGAAGTGCTGAGCATTATTGCCCACAGATATTTTGTGCTCAATCAATGTAAATAGTATTGCTCCTACTATCATCATTTCATTTATCATGGAAAACCTTATCACCTTGAACTGCTGTGGCCTGACCTCTCAGACATAGATTCTGAACTTGCTAAGAGGGTATCCTTTGTTCTAGAAATGCATTCCATGCACCACAGAGATTTTGAGTAAAGACGTTAGACAAATATTTTCATTCCAAATCTTTGGTTATTTGAAAATTTTCATCATGCCTGAGCTAAATTATTCAAACTACTTTATATTTGAATACAAAATACATGTGCACCTCCTTGTTCAAACCTAGCCTATAAATTGCAAAACTTTCTCCTCGGGTGATGTGGATTCTCTAGAGATTTGGCGCTCAGCAATTTAAAGGGTTGAGCAAATGGACTTAGTTGCATTGATGGAACTGACCTTCACTGGTTTGTGGACCAAGAACCCTGGTGAATTCAGGTTCCTGTGGGGAAAATCCATCAATCAGCCTGGGGGTGGACTCCTCCTCTTCCTCTTCTGCCTCCTCTGGCTGTGGGGGCGGGGTGAGGAGCTCTCTGTTCCCTGAAGGCATCATTGTTGCTATTTCAATCTGAAAAAGAACAGAATTTGATCGCAATCTCAATTACCCTGGGTCTGTAAAGCAGATTTCAGATGCATTCATGTTTGCCACAAGAGGGGACTCATGTTCTGAAGTTCAACACTGTGACCGGCCTGCTTGCCTAGGAGAGCACATGTGGTTCCAGTTACTGCTATTGTTTTTAATTAGTTTGCTTCTTAAAGCTTAGTAATAGTTTCCAATGTCTTCTTTGGGGGATGGTTCTTGCACTTTTAAACATCTTTACATACTTTTTATTCCGTAAGTTAAAAAAAAAACACACCAAATTTATTGTTTTCTAAATACATACCATTGCAAGAATGCATAATTGTGTGAGATTCAGATTCACCCAGAACTGTGCAAAGTCCCCTTTCCCTTGCCACCCTAATTCTGTTTTCCTTGAGGATAATAACCAATAAAAAATTGTGGCATATATTTCAGTCCTTTCATTCTTTGGTCCCTGGATTCAAATATTCTGTTTCTTTGCAACAACTTACGGTACACTTCTTCCAAATGTATTTTTACTGAAAAGTATTCTTTCTACTAAATTACAATATACAGAGACTATATAATTTGAAGATATGCCATTTTCTATACACTTTCAATATTATTTTGAATAACAAGCATTATCAATGATATTTGGGAATGTTAAAATTGACCTTTTTAAGAGTTTTGACAATAAAAGGCATTAAAAAAACACTAATTTTTCGGGGATTGTATTTTAGATTAAACATGCTTTTCTCTTCTTAGATGCATATTATAAATAATGTTAGTGCATCTAAGATCACTGTTTGCATTTAGAATAACCCCTTACTCTCAACTCCCTTTCCTTGTCTCAATGTCATTTGTATTAATAAATATCTACCTTCCTGATGACCTTGTGACCTTGGGCAGGAATTTTGTTCAAAACAATTGTTTGGCAACATGTCAGATTCACCTACAGGGGCCTAGTTTTCCCATGGCATTCCCAGAAAAAAACAGATTTTTCTTTTAGCAGACTGACACGGCCTATTTATTCTTTCCACCCTTCTTTATTTGCTTTCATTAAATAAGCAAAAACAAACAAAAACAAAAAAACACACACAAATTACTTTCTAATTTTTTTAATGTCAAAATTATATGCAAGCTATTACTTCCATCTGTAAAATATGTACATAATTAGGGCAGATATTTTATGAATAGTTTAGATAACAACAGTTTATTTTTATTAATCTTCACCTGTTTGGGTTTTTTTTAATTAATATTCACCAATATTTTTTCCATTGGTTTGTGTGTTGTTGTTTTTTTCCTTAAGAGAGAGAGTGGAAGGTAGGCAAGTGCCTCGGCCAGGGCTAGGTATTGAACCAGCAACTCAAGTATGTTCCCTTGTTAAGGAATCAAACCCATAACCCATCATTTTGTGGGTCAATGCTCCAACCACTCAGAAACAGAGGCCAGGGCAACAATAATATTTTAAAGATACACTTATCCAATGCTATTTTTGATAAAGTTGAATGTATTGCTCCACAAAATATATTTAGTTTTTAAAAATAATTACCTAAACTTTCTTTTGTCAATGCACATTTCTGAAGTGTGTCTCCCTCTGGGCTTCTGCAGAGTCTCTTCCTTTCAGATCTTCCTAAACTGTGCTACAGTGGCTCCATTCTTTCTCTGCCTCTCCAAGCTTACTAGATGGTACATTCTCAGTTAGGGCATATAGTGTTATACCTCAAGGCATAATATACAACCAACAAGTACTTATTGAATACAATATAAAAAGTTTGCTTGTCCAGAATATATCTAACCCACAGCTCTCTGCTTAATTCTAGAAATCTTGCTGAGAAGAATCAATGACTGTATAAATGCTTACTTTAATATATTTAGAGCATGAAATCAAACCAAAAGCAAATTCTACTGCATTTGGTGCATTTGAAGCCATGCGTGAAGATATCATGGCCATAAATCTCCAGTTGAGAATATTGGGTACATTCTTTAAGCAGAGAGACAGATGGGCTCCATCTGCAAGGCCAGAATGAGGCAAACACAGAAGGAATGGATACACAGAGAGACCAAAAGGAGGCTCCAAGAGGAACGGAAATTGAGACAGATGTTTCATGGGATAGAGGCAGCCTAAGGGGAGATACACATTCCAGACAAGTTGCCTTGAATCCTTGGCTTTATAGAAAAAACATTTGCACATATTTTTAATGGATAATTGTTTTTCCACTGATTTGATGTGAAGCTGAAAGATCTCACTTGTCATCCACTATCAGGAGGTGAAACAGCTTTTGTGTTTATCAGAAACTGTTTTGTTCATGCTTACTTGCTATTAAAATGGCAATATTGAACAACTTTTTAAGAGCAAAGAAAAGGAATGCCTTCTTGGTTCAGCAAAATAGCAGAACCATACATGCAAAGCACTGTGCCTGGAGAGCATTATTGTCACTACTGCATAGAAGTGATTCAGCCATTCTATCTTTGTTTCCTCTCATACCAATTTTCATAAGGCGACATGGGTGTGAGGCAAGGAAATGAGTCATTAATACAAAAAGCTCTCCCTGTGGCAGACTTTTATGCTTATGCTGCAGAACCTTAAATTTGGGAATAAACACAAATGGCCAGAATACATCCCTGCCTTTTTTTCTCAAGCTGCAATTGATAACACACAAGTGCAAACATTTATAACTGAGCATCTGATATCAGTATCCATTTTTTCTTAGATTATCTTCATTCTTTTTTTATACCCTCTATTTTACCCTGATTTGCTTCTTACTGAATTGACTTTTTATTTTTTAATTACATTTCCCTAAAGTTTAAAAGCAGAATATAAAGGGTCACTCCTACATATGACGTTGAGCTTAGTCATTACTGTACTTGCATATCTTAGATCTGTAGATAATTTATGTTCTGATAGATGATGCTTAGGAGTACATTTCATGTTCATGAAATGAAAGAATCTACCTATACTAAAGATGACAAATGCTTAGTCCACAGAGAGTGACATGGGTAGAGTGAGATCTAACCTCTCGAATGAGGTCCATGTCAGCCTGAAAAGATAAGAGGGCCAAGAAGCATCCTTAGGCCTGCCTCAGTCTCCATATCATGCGCAGCCTTGACTCTATGTAAGCAAGCCAGCACCTCATTATTTCTTAGGGTAAAGAGGACTGAAATGACCCTGAAGTGTCTCAAAGTTTCTGCTACCTGAGAAATAAAGGATTTTTATAATAATATTTGCATTGTTGTTAATAATACTGCAGAAAAGTTGAAACTTTCATTCTCCCACAATCTGCAGAGTTTTCCACAGAAGAATCTTCCTGTAAAAGTACTCAGCACCATTTTAAGTGATTATAACATTTGGTTAAAAAGAATCTTAACCAAATCCATTTGTTCATTATCAAAAAGCCCACCTAAATGATTTAGTTTACTACATTGCTACCATTAAGTTTACTAAATTTATTTGCCTTCATTTCAGAGTAAAAATGTGAAAAAATAGTGTTCAGAAATGGCGGTCACATTTCCTCCTGATTGCCTTGTTTGCCAAGGAATGCCTTCAAGACAGACTTCTTGTTGGACATGCTGACCACTCCTGTTTAAAATGATTACAAATCGCCTAAGCCGGTTTGGCTCAGTGGATAGAGCGTCAGTCTGTGCACTGAAAGGTCCCAGGTTCGATTTCAGTCAAGGGCATGTACATTGGTTGCTGGCACATCCCCAGTAGGGGATGTGCAGGAGGCAGCTGGTCAATGTTTCTCTTTCATAGATGTTTCTAACTATCTATCTCTCTCCCTTCCTCTCTGTAAAAAAAATCAATAAAATATATTTTAAAAAAATAAAAAATGTCATTCTTTCTCTCTGTCTACTACCACCACCATAATCTATGTTATTGTGCTCTCTTGCTGAGAATAGAGCAACGATCCCCTTCTAGGAAGTTGGGATTTTCTTCAGTATACATTCACACTAAAGTGAGAATAAACTCTGAAAAAGACAAAATTAGTGTCAACCCATCCTTAAAATCCCCCCTTTTTTAAATATTTGAAATCTTTATTGTTGAGAGAATCACAGATGTCCTCCAAACCCGATTGTCCCCTGCCACTTGGTTCTCATATATGTCCATAGGAAATGCCAATATGCATGTAAGTTCTTTGGTTAATCTCTTTTTGACACCCTTCCTGTTCTCCGCAAGATCTGTCATTCTTTTCTATGTTTCCATGCCTCTGGTTCTATTTTATTCATCAGTTTATTTTGTTCACTTGATTCCTTGTTCATTCATTCATTTATTTAGACTTTTAGATTCAATTGTTGACAGATATAAATTTATTGCCATTTTATTTTTTATATTTTTCTTCTTTTGTTACCTAACAAAAGATAAATGATATAGATTTTGATGTTGTATATGGGAATACAGGGTAACTATATATATTTGCCATTACATTCCCAGCTCCTATCCCATTGTGTCTAGCAATTAGTAGGCTGAGTCAGTAAAGGTAAACAGTGACAATTTTTGATACTTTAAAGGGTGCTTTGGATATCAGAGTATAAAATATTTTAACCTTGCATGAGAGAGCAGGTATGAAAAAGGATTAGTTATGGCTCAGACATCTTCATGTCTGCCAATGGGCCTTCATTGTAGGTACAAACATGTTGTGAATGGAAACTAAAGGAGATGTGCTTTGACTTCATTGGGTGAAATTGGTTCAGCTACTGCTGATCCAAGGATATTGGTTGGGTGTGGTCTATATTTGAGGGAAAGGTGAAATTATGTACCTAGAGTAAGAGTTACTCCATTGCACAACTCTGAGAGGCACAATTACTTTGCACAGATACTCTCTACACTTCCTATAATTTGACTTAACATGCCAATGTAGGCAGAGATGGATAAATTTTTATTAATCTTTTCTTTGCTTGTATATAATTTGGGAATAAAGATAGCATGACAAATCTTTACAAAAAGAGAAAGTGTAAGTATATATACACTGAGATCCCAGTTGACTTAGTGATATTCATTGAGAAATAAA